CTAGGAGGTTTCTATATATATGGGGTTTTTTTTACCCAAGAGAAGCTAACTCAGCCTGAATGAGGGGAAGGACATTATAGTAAAACTTCTGCCCCTACTTTTTAGAGTACTTTAAATGCTTAAATCAACCATAAACAAAAGTTCACTGCATCCCAACAACCCCTACCACACACTCAGAATCCTGTCCTAATGTGCGGCTTCACAGCAGCATCAAAACAAATGTGGAGTTAATGCTTAGACAAGATCAATTAAAACAAATGCCACACAGACAATAAGCTGCTGCTGCGTTCTGTTGTAGACCTCTCCCTGTTTGTGTACACAGGCTGAATAAATATGGAAATGAGTACATTAGCTCTATTCACTGCACTAACAGCTTAAACATGCATGTGTGTCTGTGTGCCAGGTTTTGAGTGGGAAAGAGCTGGAGACAGGAGCTACACTCTGGATGGAAGTACCAAACATTTTTGCAGGATCAAGTAATTGACCCCAATTTTCCAGCAACACCTGAAGCTGTGCAGATAAACAGCCATAAAAATAGACCAAGCTGTAATTACACAACACAACTCAAATGATTGGCCAGTTCCTTCATAGATAAATGTACAGATTTAGAATCTCTGTAAGTTTGCTGCTGAGCTGATAAACACAATGCACCCCAGCCATGTGTCACTGCATGCAGAGTATAATAAAGGAGTGTTGCCTAAGAGAAACTAAAACTGTGTAAACAATATTGAAACAGGCCTTGCTTTTCTTGGTGGAAATGGAAAACAGAAAAAATTTGACCAGTCAAAAACAAAAGACCTAGCATGCTTTGAGTAATGCATACTGCCTACCACATTTCATGAAAAAAAATCAAACTAAGATTAATTTATGTTGAGAAATGAAAGGGACAAACTTTGAAATTAAGATTTTGAACAATCACATTCAATTTTGCAATAGTTCAGGTGATGTTAGACCCAGGAGTAAGTGTTGTGAATGACTGACAGCTATTACCACCTAAGGTCAATGCCTCTAAAACTGATTGAGTTATAGAAATATTTGTATAGGCTAATGCTGAATAACTGTGGCACCCATCTGGACATGGGTTCAGTCTAAAAGTTATTAAGTTGTACATGCACAGCCAATACATCTTTTTCTTTCAGCTGTTCCCTCTTCAGGGGTCGCCACAGCGAGTCATCCTCCTCCATCTCACTCTGTCCTCTGCATCCTCTGTCCTCACTCCAACTACCTCCATGTCCTCTCTAACTGAATCTATATATCTCTTCTTTGGTCTTCCTTTGTCTTTTTCCTGGCAGTTCTGGCAGACATGGCATTTCTAACATCCTTCTACCAACATATCCACTGTCCCTCCTTTGGACATGTCCAAAGCACTGTCCCTCCTCTGGACATGTCCAAACATCTCAGTCTGGCCTCTCTAACTTTATCTCCCAGTTGTTCAACCTGTGCTGTATCTCTGATGATCTTATTCCTAATCTTATCCATCCTTGTCTCTCCTAAGGAGAACCTCAACATCTTCATTTCTGCCACATCCAGTTCTGTCTCCTGTCTTTTTATCAATGTCTCTGTCTCCAGACCATATAATATAGCTGGTCTCACCAATGCCTTGTAAACTTTTCCTTTGACCTTTGCTGACACCCTTTTGTCACAAATCACTCCTGAAGCTTTTCTCCATACACTCCATCCTGACTGGACTCTCTTCATCAACTATTTACAACACTCCCCTTTCCTGGACAGTGGACCCCAAGTATTTGAAGTCCTGTGCCTTTGTGACCTCTGCTCCTTGTAGCCTCACTGTTCCACCTCCTTCCTCTCATTCACACACGTACTCTGTCTTACTACGGCTGACTTCATTCCTCTTCTTTCAAGTGCATACCACCAACTTTCCAAGTTCTCTTTCACCTGTTCCCTGTTCTCACCACAGATCATAATATCATCTGCAAACATCATAGTCCACAGGGATTCCTGCCTGATCTCATCTGTTAGTCGGTCCATCACCAGAGCAAACAAGAAGGGGCTCAGAGCT